TGTAACTAAATAAGTAACATTTTATTCTTTCCCAGTAACAGATTCACACAGCCGAAGCCGCAATAATTAGTCACTTCATATACTGTCAATAGTTTCAAAATACTATTATTACTTTTTTTTTTTATATAACAACATAAAACTGTGATAGTGTATTTGAAATTATGGTAATAATAAGGAATAGGTAGTCCCTTGAAGAATTCGTGCACGGCCATTGGAGATGGGATATACTTTTGAGATATTATGTATATTTTATCTTGTTTTTTATTCATAAATAGTATTAAATATTAAACAGTGTCATTATCAGTACACCTAATAACAAGTTATATTTTTATCATCTTACAAATAAACACTATCAATAATTGATATTTTGAACAATAATCAATGTTACCATGACCTCTATTAGTAAATAACTGTTAATAATTGTGAATTGTTTTATGTAAATCATTAAATTTTGTTTAAATAAACAAAACCATTAATATTATTGATTATTTATACTTTAGTGTCTATATATTTCAAATTTCTCAATTTTTTTACCGTTGTCAATGACAAATTATAATATTTGAATCACTATGTACAATTGATATATATTAGCAATAAAATTATTTTCGTGAAAAACCTAAAAATTTACCATTATAACTAATAAATCGACAATTATCAGAAATCATTCAACCAGTTGGTTCCAAATACAATAAATCTATTCAAAACTATGACAGGGGACTAAATTCAAATTGATATTGAATTTAAGGAATCTTGAGAAATTAACCTGAAGATGAAATTAATAAACAATGTTTACTCGGAACCCCGTAATCATTGAAGATTTCCTGCACGCCAGGACGCACGCCATAATGGTTCGAATAAAAATAAGGATTCTGTATAATAAATTATGTTTAATAAGAACGCAATTGAACAATTTAAACAGTTTTAATAACTTACGTTGACAATTTTCATAACTCGTCTTAGAACCGAATCAACAAGTATCCTATATGTAAAATTTCTAGTTTGAAGACTCGGTAATTTTTGCAATTGATTGATACACTAGACAGGTTATTTATCTTCATATTATGAATTATTAAAATTACCCGCCTTTCTCCCGTATGAAATTCATTTTTTTCATATTCTAAGTTCAAGTTTTTTTCTAATGAATACCAACTAGTTTTTGTTGGGCATTGAAATGTCACTCAATTAGTTCTTTTTGACATATACAGATAAATATCCAGTTTAAATTAATAATAAGAAATCTCATAACCTGGATAAATGGCAACGATTCCATTTTAAAATATATTTACACTATCAGCGAAGAAAATTTATCTTTATATTTTTACGTCTAGAAAACAAAATCCGTAAAAACAATGAAACGCTAGAGCGGACGTGCTGTCGCGTTGTTTTTCATGGGTGCGGTATCGTATACGTATTTAAAAATGGAATCGTTGACCGATTATCTAATAGAGATAGAATACAGAAACACGCAATCTATTTCTCTAAAAGTGGAGTTAGAACAATTGAATGAATATTCCTTCATCTCTTAGTCATCCATTTCTTCATTTGCTATATACCTACAAAGTGCATTCTAAGAGCATTCTTTTGTTGTTCTATTCAACTGCAATTGTATATTATTTTTCCATTATTCTTTTAATTTAAGCCTACTTAGTTTTACGTACTAGCTCGTATTCTGTGCACTGTGATGTAGTGGTTTAGTAAGAAATTATTTTTTATATACAGTTGTCTAATTTATAATGAAGAAAAATAAAACGTGAACGCTATTCTGATAAATATATGACCAAACAAACCAATGGAATCTCGCATAGCAGTAGATATAGAGTTTACGGCACATTTATTTTGTTCTCACGATTCCGGGTTACCCAACTTATATAACTTTAAATAGATTTTAATGTAGACCTAGTGTCTATTAATACAGAACAGAATAACATAAATAACGTTAAACAAATTAGAACTTTAAAAAAAATATATTAAAATCAAATTAAAAAAATAATATATTTTATTTATATCAATCTTTGTGAAAATATTTGTTTTATATGTTTGGTGTGCATTTTACAAACTTGTCAACATATAAAATTGATCCACCGAAAGACTATATCTTATATTATTACAATGTAACATATTATCCAAAAAAGTACAAATATGTAAATATATGATATAATTATCAGTCCTAGTATAACAACACAATAACAGAACTACAAAATTAGAAAGATTACTTGGTAGAGATAGAAAAGACTGCTCTACTTTTTCTCCCGTAGATATTCTACGCTATTTATTTACGAAATGAATATTTAATAGTACCTATATACACAAACAACCGTGTCACATTATTGTAATATCAGCTTAAACAATATTAATTTATTTTAAGAACACTTTAATCAAATAATAAAAAAGTAAAATACATAAAAACTTTCTCTTATTGACGTGTTTAATATTTTTTCTATTAATATAATGAATAACGCTAAAAATTTTGCTGCTTATGCCTCCTAAAAAAGTCTAATAGCAATAAAAATACTAAGATCTGTTTAAAAAATTTAAAAGTCTATTTGCTCGACCTAATTACCACCGCCGCCTGTTCAGACTTAATAAAAATTTCAATTCAATATCGAACAAATGTAATGTTAATTATTCAGATATTTCTGTTTACCCCTATCATTGATAAATCAAAGTTTTATTGTACGTTACAATCTTATGTCCACTTTTTCCACGTTTCACTGAATAGTAAGCAGGCAAGGCGAAATTTGGAGCGTGTGGTCTTGCGCCCTAATCTGAGGACCCTTCGAGAGATGTCAAATTGTGACGAACTGGCCGACCAAGTCCTTTGTCACTATCTAATCCATATATGATTATGCACCAACAATATCTCACAATAGATGACCCACAAGAAAGACAAGTTTTCAAAATAATAGAACCGTAGAGATATTGTAGGGAATACTTTCTCTGATCTTTTCACCCCATATAGGAGATTGTTAGTGATTTTATTCTCTATAACTTTAATTCAAAATAGATAGTTACTAATTACATCTATTATTCCAAACCCCACATTTGCCATTATAAGGATATTGTAACAAATACAGTTGATTGCTTTAAAATTCATAAATATACAAAACATGCATAGTAACAAATTTAAATTGTAATAGTTTACATTTGTATTTGCTTTATTTAAATATATGTCTATAAGCAACGGTCACCACTTTCTATCAGATTAGCCGTCAGCTTGTTTAGCATTCTAAGTTGCATAAAAAAAAATTTAAAACTTGAAATAATGTAGTGAACTTAACTTCTGTTCTATTATGAACTGAAATAATAAATTTCAAAATTTTTTATAACTGAAATTTTCTCTGAAATAGACTCCACAGCATATTCATTTAAATAATATTTAGTAATGCAAAATATAATATCGATAATAATTTAATATTAAATTTTACCCTAATATTAATAATCAAATATAGAAAGTTTAAAAATTATACTGAAAATTATGGTTTAGTTTAAAAAACTTACAAACCTACAATCTTTTAAGTTATCACTCAAATTTTCTACCTGCACCTAATTGAGAAATATTGAAAATTTATTATAGTTTTTATTTTTTAAGTATAAAAAAAATATATATTAATACTGTAATTCAGTTTATTGTGCAAAAAAATGTGTTCCAAAATTGATATATTGTATCTATTTTAAGAGCTTTAGCATGTGTATATTAAAAAAGAAAAAATAGAGAAGTTAAAAACTGAATGTGTACCCATTTCGCGGTTTACTGCCTTATTGTTATAATTTATAATAAATCTTACCGGTACGCATTATGATAATATTTATTAAAAATTCTCCATGTTAGGGCTTTTTCTATCTTATTCCGCACTACTTAAGATAAAGTAACGTGGACATCTATTGAAAATGTTTATAAATAAATTACTGTACAACCAAGCAGATTATCACAAATGTATATTAAATTAGTAATAACGAACATAATTTATAGATGGCGGTAATATAGTTAGAAAAATAAATAAGATAACGCCATCTATAGATGAATACAGATACTATATATCGCTACGAAGTGTAGAAATAGCAGGTCCTGCGTATCTCCGAGTATTTATATATAAATTATAGAATTACATTTTAGAGGCGGATCCCGAAGGGGTGGTGCCTTCCACAACCCCATTATCAATTTCAGTAGGTATATGAGATAATTTTTATTATAAATACGTACTCAATATAAATAATATTTTTCTATATAATTTGTCATTTTTACCTAATTCAAATGAACTTAAATGAATGCAGAACAGTAGATCAATTGTTAATAGTTGTAGGCAAATACATTAAAGAAAGTCTATAAAGAAATAAACGGATGCGTTATGGAAAGTGATATGAGCATATTATAAGTACATTGGTATACTCGAGAGTGACTGCCTATTGAGAAAAAACAAACAGAGATGAACCAAGAACAAAAAATGTATTACGTTGATCCTAAATAGTATAAAATAAGGCCAGCAATATGATGGTTGAGGCCACTTTATAATTCTTAAATTTCATTTTTAAGCATATGAAGAAAATGGTATATATATAATGGTAAATATAATGGTATGCATTAAAGCAACATCGATCAACGATCGACATTCAAATAATTCTGTCTATGATATTTAACTATGCATATGATCTCGCTTCATAAAAAAATATCAGAAAATTTTTTATGTGTATAAGTCTCATAGGGCGGAAATTTATTTAATAGAGTAAGATACCGCTCCGCAACCATATAAAAATAGTTAAGTAATTCAAGTAAATAAAAATTGACATAAAAATAATATTGATATAAGTCATATCTTTATAATAATCTATTGTAAACAAGCACTAGATTTTAATTTCTAATCAGCTAATGAGAAGTATATGTCAAATATTACTATTGTCGTGGAATAAATAAACTTACAATTATACGTATAATTCTAATTCCATGTAATTCAACTTTTTCTGATTAATTATTGCTCAAAAATACAAATAATGTATAAACTTACAACTTTTTGTATAAACAGGTGAACCGGATGTACCGTTGGTAACTACTGGCGATGCTGGTGCTGTCGCCTTATTACTATCTGTACCCTGGTGGGTCCACGCTGCAGCCGCCGCCGCCGCAGCCGCTGCGGCCGCGCATACGCTGCACTCTGTCAATGATATTGACATTGATTAAAACAGTGAATTAATATTATATAACATGTTAATATTCTTAATTTTCAGCACTTGGTGATATTTGTATTATAAGCCTTATAAAAAAACTCTTTTACATATTTAACACGGCATGTTTTATTACATAAATATAATAAATGGATAATCCCATCATAACATTACAGCATTTTTAAGGTTGATACATAATTATTGCAAATTTTTTATACAAATTAATATTACTAGAAAAGAACATGTTCTTGTCTTCCACAACAAGGAATTGCTATAGTTAATTTTAAACTTTCACGTTATTTACACATATTTATAAACACAATCGAGACTTAACGCGATGTAAAAGCTTTTATAGGTGAATAGTATCTACATACTTGCTTCTTTATTTCCGAAGTCTCGACGTGGATTGCACCACGTCGTGGCCACGACAGGGCTTGTCATAGTTACTATTTACCTATAAAAGCTTTTACATCGCATTAAGTCTCGATTGTGTATTTAAAATAAGAAATTGCCATCCTTCAATTGACTACATGGGAAAGAACTAGACTAGTGTAAAATGAACATTTGAAAGTACCCTAAATGACGAAACCAGTAAGGTTTTTATTATTACACCTTTTTATAGAAAAGTGCAAGTGTTTTTCTCATAATATAAATATTATATAAATTAAAAAAAATTAAATATAAATAAATTATTATTTTTTATTAAATTCGTATAAGCCCTTGTTATGTGAAATAATTAAAACTGTATAATAAAATTAACATCTGTATATTATGTCAAATAATTTATTTTAGATGTACATACACAGATACATCGATATAGGGTCAATTTATATGGTTTTTTATTTATATAAAGCGTTTACTCCCTTATGATGTTAAACATTTACTACTTTTGTAAAGATTAATTAGTTTTTGTGGATAAAGTCATAAATTACTTATTATGTTTTGATACCAACTTATAGTACTATCGCAGTATTACTTGTTAAATTACTAGATTTTTACTACAGCTTCACCTACATAAACATTTTTCTGAGGATAAATATAAAAAAATATTTAAATAGATATATCAGGTATTACTAAAATTTAACTAGGTACGTTAAATTAAACCTTTTCTATTCTAAATGAACAAACTAATTATTTATATAAACTAAGGTATTTAGGCAAGGTAACTGGCATCCCTTCAATCCCTTAGGAGATGATTTTCGAAAAATTAATACGATGATTACGATTTTTTTAATTAACATAGTTTAAAAAAACTTCAACCTCCTTTCCTATTGTATGTATATATTTATGTATGGATGAAATATTAATCTACTGCATGTAATGATAATTAAACGGGATTTAAACCTACAAATCTATACCTAATACTGAAAATATTTTTAAAAAGGAAGTGTTGTTATTCTTAATTTCTCGTTTTAGTAAAATCACGTATATTATTCGACATTTTTTAAAAAGTAATAAAGCTTAATTAAATATAAAACATGATCATATTAAATTTATAAATAATCATGACTTGTAAAAATTCGGAATAAAAGCCTAATTATTTCATTATTTAAGTATTTATAACTATAAAATTTTAAAAGTCTACAAATTAATAACTCTTTTAGTACCTTTTGACTGCTTATTACGTAATAATTGGAATTTTTAGCGAAATATATACAAAATTTAAATAATTTAGAAGAATCGTATTTTGTTGGATTTACATTACATTACAATTAGGAATATTATATTGTTTAAATAACTATATACATAGTACTATTTTTAGTTATTAAATTATAGAATTATTTACAAAATTACATGAAAGAATAATATTAATATGATTATTTTACATTTTAAAATAATATTCAATTTAGTATTAGGACATTCAATATTTGCGTTTTACTGTAAGAATAATTATTTACCATAACAATAACATTATGGGAACCATTTGATTCATTACATACATCAATTCGTATATAATTTACAAAAGCATAATGGCATTACTTTGTAATTTTATTAAAATACATCAGTCAACGCGTGATTGACTGTTCACCGCACCGCGGTAAATATGAACAACTTACCCTTCATATATATAGGAGAACCCCTCTCAGATATTGATAACCCACCAAATCACTACATAAGGTCTACTCAAAATCATGAGTCATTGGTTTTCGAACCGCTATTAAAAAAAATCTATCACAATAAAATATCTACACCACACACTTCACTTGACATTCGCCGACACTTGTTTATAATAGTAGTACAAAAAAAGCAGACCTACGCGACCGTTTTTTTTTTATGATCTTTTTATTGATTTAAAAGGATATTTATTAGATTATCGTTTTAGGTATCGTAAATATAAAATTTTTCAGTACATACATATTACAGTTGCGGTGCGTGGGGCGATTAGCGAAAGACTGCGTGGTGCTTTTGCGTGGATGTGGGGTGACGCGCATGGTTGGGGGATGCTGGCTAGCTACATTTACTACTAGTAAATAATACGTAGTTTATTTTTATATTTAGATAATAGATATTTTTCAAAAAACAAATGACAAAAAAATCTTAATATTTTATTAGTAACAAAAATTATTGCATTTCAAATAAATATTACATACACAGAGATTATTTAACATTTATCTCTACAAAGAAATAAATTTCAATGAAGACAAAATTCATATGAGACTAGCACAAGATCTATCGATTGCAAAATGAGTCAGTCAAATTGTCATTAAGCACCTTCCTTCTTCTTTTTCTTCTTCTCTTTGATACAATGTATGGTATCAACATTGAAAAAGTAACCTGTAGGTTGTTACGGCTTTTTTCCTATGATTTGGTAGAATATTATAATTGAGACCTGTACTTAAGTATTAGAATATAAGTACAAGTAATGTCATTTTACTGATTTTTGTAAAATATTATTCTTATGACTTAATAACCAATAGCAAAAACTCAAAACTAAATTGCATTTTTACAGTGTACTAGTATTTTATGCGACATATTACCCATTTCTGTATTTTTTACATTCAAAATCAGATTTTTATGGCACCACAGCGACAAAATCATAAAATACCTGTAACTACTGTGTGTGTATAAAATTCCATTTGTGATGACAGTATTTTTTTATTATTATTCATCTATCTATCATTACAACACGTAACTTAGTGTTTTCATGCGAGTCGCGTTGTATAGGCATAACCACACAGAATTTATGTCTAACGAGATTCACATAATCATCTGATACTATGTGCATTTTATATAATTACACTTACGGTATGACTTGTATTGATACTTAATAACATTTTTTATAAAAGTGAACCAAGCTTTTCCTAGGTAGTCGAAGTCTATAATGAAAACTTACATTATATAGAGTAGCTCCATACAAATGCCTCGAGAAAAACAGATTATTAGACTTTTTCATACAATTATGCGTGATGAATAGTTATGCGTGTTTTCTTTATAACTTCTATATTTATTTTGTTGTATAATTTTTGCTCCTTTTTTTTAAAGCGTAGAAAATCATTTTATGTATTAAATAATTAAATATAGATACGTCAAGATACAATATATGTGTAAGTATATAGAACATTGATAAAAAATTTGTTAACTAATTTGGCAATTAGACAAAAGTAGACATTTTTAAGACTTGATGCTCTATCTATATAATCTTAGGAATAGAATGCAAAGAAAATAACACAACACTTCTTAAATGGTAACGTTACAACTGAACAACTATTGTATTGTAAAATCTTTATTGTACAAAATTTATATTGTGCGCATTAAAATACTATTATGATTTTTAACATTAAAAAAACCTGTATGTATAGAGTGGTAAATTGCATATTAATAAAATAATAAGTATTTTTGAAAGTAGAATGTAAGTTACGCAATTTCATGAACTGAGTCTTTGAATATTAAAATTATTGCAAAAATGTAATCGATATGATTTAAATCGATACAAGTAAAGAGACCAAAGTGTATGTATATATATATAATATATATATATATAGTAGGCATAAAAATCAAATTAGGTAAACAAGGTATAAATTAGACATAATCTATTGATATATAAATAAAAATCAAAGCAAATTCACTCGGAAGGTTTGCACCAATGCTGCTATTTCTTTTTTTGTGTTTGAATTTGTCAGGGCAATATTTGTATAAAGAATATATATGTATTTAAAAATCGTACAAAAATATTAATAACTTGGGTTTAAAAAGGAAGATTTGAGCTCTAGTATATACTTGCGTAGCTAAGACCGTCAGCTAGTTTTAATATAAAATCAAAGCACAATATAAAACAATTTAAAAATTATAATTTCATCTTATAATTAAAATAAATAAGAACCCTTTTAGAGTTAAGCTCACCTTTGTACATTTAATTACCTCTGTCATGTTTTTATGTATAATTAATTAGTGAGTACAATAAAGTATTAAAAAAATAAAATAAATTTAGTAAATGCACATTCTGTATAAATACTTCTAGTATACATCTTTTTTGTGCGCAATAAAGAATGTGTTATTATTGTTAATACGATATAAGACTATTCAAAATTATAAAATTACCATACCAATTTTATCTTAATCGATATGGTAAAAAGTAAACTACGTTTCAAATGTTACGTTTAAAAAAGACAATGTAAATAACACAAAATATTTTTAATTACAAAATTTTTAGAAGTAATAAATAAACTTACAAATTATAGATATAATGATATCTTTAATTTTTTTTTTTAAATAATTCATGTAGTTAGTAATCATGGAGCAAAATAAAAGATTATAATTCAAATAAATAAACACAAATCCGGGATCTGAGATTATATTCATATACTTTAGATAGATAGATAGATATATTTGCCAGAACATTGTTACAGATATTGATTTATTGTGAAGTACAAATGTTCGCCTTATAGTCTAAAGCATGCAAAATCATTATTGACTAGGTACATGTTACATTACATCTAATACATACATATAAGTTACTTAACATTACATCAATTATTTATTCTATTAATAATAATAAAATTATAATAGTATGTTAAAAAATCAATTAATAACAATACATTTGATTCAATTCAATGTCAGTGCTATTTAATAATAAAGTATAAATTATGTCATTCTGTGAATAGTTCTCCCAAAAAATAATAACGTCTCAGTACCTGAGAGTGGCCATGTTGCATTGGTAGTAGGTTGTGAAAAGTTGTGCAGTAGAGGTTATGGCAGCACAGAAGACAAATCACAATACTAAATAAAGAGCGAGATATAAGTTACTTTGTCTAAATATTTCCATATATATATAAGCGGTTACAGGAATTTTAATAATTTAAGATTTTACTCCAATAAGTAAAAGCTAATTGAAAATCTCATTCTTTGAACTCGTTTAATAAAAAAACAGTCATCAGATTTAAAACTTAGTTTTAAAAAATATACTACGAGTACATTTTAAATTTTTTAAACCTCAAAGCTAGTATAGTATAGAGCTAAGATATGTATAGTCTGCCAGATGGTGGACAGAATACTATCTCTATGTAATTTTTATAGTCATATTTTTATACAATTAAGTATTTTTTTATATATTATTTACCCATAATCTTACTGTATAATCTAAGTTTTACTGATATGTTGTTGTTGTATAATAATAAAGATTGTTTTAAAAAACAAATTTTAATACTTATAATAAACAAAATAATTAAATTACCATCACGGTATGAAATATTTATAGTACCATATTATAATAAAAAAAAAACATTATAGGCACTAGTCGCCATTGTTGTATTTAATTATAAATAGTTAAATCCGTGCAGAAAAAAAAACAGTCGGCCATATTTGTGAATATCGGGGTACGCATGCGCACTGCACGAGTGAATGCTAACAGCCGGCCGGTCGCACATCTGCTGGTCAGCTACAGGCTCGTGGACACAATGTGACTATATTAACCATGGGTTTAGAAGACGTTTTTAACAGTACGATCAACATTATTTTTAAATCCCACTAATATTGTAAAGTGAAAGTTATAATATATGTATTTAAAAATTTTTACTGAACTACATTTATAAACCAGAATAAATAGACCATTCCCTATTTTGATATTTACACTTCATAGAAATTTATATGAATTGCTATGAATTCGAAGCCATAGGATTCTACTCGTACTGGCACTACTAGTAGTATAAATATGGAAGTATAAAAAATAAAGAACAACTGAACTGCCTTCAATAAAATAAAGTGATGTATGTCGGAGGTATGAATCTTATATATATATATATATATATATATATATATATATATATATATATATATATATATATATATATATATATATATATATATATATATATAATTATTATATACTAGTGGCCCGTCCCGGCGTCGTACGGGTGGACATTTTTTTACATTACATTACATTTTAAAAAGTGGCCATTAAGGGTGCACACACGACGGAAGCTTAAAAATGGAGTAACTTCTCCCGTTTTCCCAACATTTCTCTTCAGTGCTCTGCTCTCATTGATCGTAGCGTGATGAAAAGTATACTATACCCTGCCCAGGAGTATAAAGAATAATTGTACCTACCAAGTTTTGTTAAAATCGAGTATTTTTGTTTCTATAACAAACATACAAACAGACAGACAAAAATTTTACTGATTGCATTTTTAGCATCGGTATCGATCACTAATCACTCCCTGATAGTTATTTTGGAAATATATTTCATGTACAGAATTGACCTCTCTACAGATTTATTATAAGTATAGATAGAAGAAGATAAATAGGTTATATAGAATCTAAATCTAATGATTAATCAAATATAAGAATAATAAGGAATTTTCATTTTTAACTATAGAGTCATCAAAGTTTGAAAAATTATTTTTAGTATAAATATAAAATGATATTGTAATAATTATATTAAATTTATAATTAAACATCATTTTTTAAAATTAAATACAAAATTATAACGATTTAAAAACCAGAAATTATGGTCACTCTACCTATACCTGACCCACCCTATAGAAGTATAAAGCAAATAGAATGGTACGCTAATGCTCCACATTTTTTCTACATTTTAGCAAGATTTTGTAGTTTTATCTTTAATCTCTACGCATAAATGCAAAAATTATAAAATTAATTTAATTTTAATTTATTTTAATTACGGTGTTTGTTACTATTCTTCGTTTAATAATAATGTACTCTTCGCTTGTTCCTTTGACCATATTAGAGTGTAATAGAAGTT